AAGAAAGGGGGGGGGATGAAAAAAAGGGGGGGGGGGGGGGGGGGGGTACTCATAGTCGTGCATGCCGTAGTCGTTTGACCATTGACCTCGCATCCCTACAAAGCCGGGACGGAGCACGCCGGGTTCTCACCGGACCAGGCTCTCACATCATCAAGCGCGAAGCGCCGTGAGGTATTTGGCGAGTCGCATGAAGGGTGAGCTGCATCCTGCTAAGGGTGTTCGGCATCTTGTGCTTACTTCCTTGCGTACGGATGACAGCTACGTATGACTTAATTTATTTTCTGGTGCTTTCACTTCCAGAGACAGTTGTAAGCACTGTGTAACTGCCTCGAGGAAGCTTGACCATTTTAACACAACGTGGTGCGATCTATCCCCCGTTGCGCGGAGTGAGGTTTCTCGACCCCGCACAACATGATCTACTCGACCACCATTCATGGTTACCGCCAAAAAAAAAAACGAGGTAAAAAAAAAAAACGGTAACCTGGTTGCCGGAGTTCACGAAGTGAATTGGCTTGTTTTACAACGTCGTTGCCAAGCGACGAAAACCCAATCCCGATGGCAAACACCCAGTGGGGGGGGGGGGGGGGGGCAAGCGTCCCGCATTCAGTGGGTGCAGACGTGCGTATGATGGGGTCCAGAGATGGGTTTTGGGGGAGGGCACTAGCTGGCTCTTGGTTTGCTGCCTTGCGCAGTGTGGTGCAGTGCTGACAGTGAGGTCCGGTGCGTTTGTGCTCGCATGCCATGCGGGACGCACTCTTCGGTTGCTTCCTACTGGATAGGCGCCGAGCGCTTGGCTCTACCATTGCCGCAGAAGAGCCTTAGAAAACCTTCGACACATGCCCAGGCAATGCAGCCGGTCCGTTGCCCCTCTTCTGCGGCAGCGTAGAACGCTCCCCAACACATGAAAACACGCAAAAGACAAAAAAGCACACCAGCAAAACTGACTCACCCACGACGTCCTGCCTCTCCCGGGACTTGAACTCCGACGGCGACGGGGTGAACTGCGCCTGCTTCTTGAGCCGCAGCGTGCGCGAGGTCCCCGACGGCCGGAGCTTCAGGTCCTTCACCTTCTTCTTGGAAGAAGTAACGCCTCCGCCGCCGCCGCCATCGACGGCGACGGCGAGGGCCCGGGCATCCGCCGCCGCCGCGAGCGAGTCCGGGCTTCCCGGTGCGCTGCCGTTGCTGTTGCCCTTCATGTCCAGGAGCGGGCCGAACAGGGAGGAGGCCTTGTTGGTGGTGGTGGTGTTCGAGCTGCTGCCGTGGTTGCTGCTGCCGCTGAGGATGCTTGCGATCCGAGAGGAGGGCGGCTTATCGGGAGGCTTCTCGACCGAGGAGTGGGTGCTGCTGCTGCCCGACATTGGGGCATTGCCGTCCTTGTCCTTGCCCCCGCCGGAGGTGGAAGACGAAGGGTCTTGCTTGGTCTTGGACAGCGAGTCTTGGACCTTTTTTGGGGGGGGGGGGGGGGGGGGGGGCATGAGGGAACGCGAAAAGAGCCTAAATCCAGGGCCTGGGTGGGGTT